GAACCGACAGTCTAGGGCAGGAGTGGGAAACCTTTTTTCTGCCAAAATTTATAACCTCATTCACAAGTCTCATAAAACTATCAGCTTAAAAATCAGTCTGGAAAAAAAAAAAAAAAATCAGTCTGCTATATTTGGTCAGAGATTTAATGAACTCACTCCTCATCAGGATGTAAGGAGCTCTGGTGGCGTAGTGGTTATGAATCGGGCTGCGAACTACATGGTCAGCAGTTGGAAACCACCAGCTGTTCTGTGGGAGAAAGTGATGCTTTCTGCTCCCATAAAGATTTACAGCCTTGGAAACCCTGTAAAGGATTGCTATGAGTCGGAACCAACTCACCAGCACTAAATAACAACAACAGCATGATGCCTGGAGTTCTGGTGCGGCACTGTGGTATAAAGCATCCGCTGGGCTGCAAGGTTGGTTTGAACTCCACTCCCAGCCACTCCCGGGAAACCCTAATACAGGGTCCCTACAAGCTGGAATCGACTTGACAGCACTTAAACACACAACAACAACAACGTGATGGCTGGGACTGCAGCTGCCTTGGCAGGTTCTGGCATTCCCTACCCCTGTCTGAAAGGTCAGTAGTATCTACCTTGCTACCTTGTAAGTGCAAGGCAAAAACACAGCAATAGTAGAGTTCAGAGCGAACAGAGAAATGAAACTGCTCTCCAGTTTTACACTCAATATTTCTTAAAAACAATAGTCACCGGGGCAGAGAAACTAGAGGAGTGGGAATGAAATGCTCAGAACTAATTAAAGAGAATGTTGGCATATTGTGAAAACTGCAACTAGCATCCGTGCGCTCTATGTATGTTGTTGTTGTTAAGTGCCGTCGAGTCAATTCCGACCCATAGCGACCCTGTGTAGGGTTTTCAAGGAGTAAGTGGTGGGCTTGAACTGCTGATCTTGTGGTTCAAATGACTTTGCAGTCTGGTGCATTAACCCACAGCTCCGCTCTATGTATGTTGTTGTTGTTAAGTACGGTGGAGTCGGATCTGACTCATAGTGACCCTGTACAGGGCTTCCGAGGCTGCAAATCTTTACAGGAGCAGAAAGCCTCATCTTTCTCCTGCGGAACAGCAACTGGCAAATGGGAACCTACTGTGCTGTGCAAACTATCACTGAAAACACAATAAAAAAATACTCACCAGCAGCCTTTTTGTGACAGGAAATTGCCTCTTCGTATTTCCCTGCAGCTAACAAACGGTCTGCTCGTCTGCTCTGTTGATGGGCCTAGGAGACAAACATTCCTAAGTTCTGCTGCATTACAGAATGATACGACTCACAATATTTTTAGGAAGATAAATAATGCTGTTTATTGCCACACACCAACCCTCCATCACAGCTACGTCTGTAATTGGAGGCAATTAATGGGTACAGCCAAGACCCATAGTATAAGCAGTCCCGGACTTAACATGGACCATTCTGATGATGCTGTCACAAGGCAGCTCTGACTGAAGTCAGATACCTGTTTTTTTTCTTTTTTAAGTTTTCATTGCCTTTTATTTTCATTCAGTATCTCTTCCTCTGATCTTCATTTGCTTTGGGGCATAGGAAACATTACATATAAACCTACACATATCTAACTAAAAGCCAAATCCTTTGCCATTGAGTTGATTTCATCCAGACTCTACAATCCTACAGGACAGAGTAGACCTGTACTCCGGGGTTTCCAAGGCTGTCAGCTTGCCACGGAGCACAGCTGGTGGGTTCAAATCGCCCACCTTTTAGGGTTAGCAGTTGAGTGTATCACCAGTGCACCATTAGGGCTCTGCCTTTTTTCCCTTAAACTTAGTATTATCAAATGAGTGAAGATTTACAGAGCAGATCATCAGTTCTATAGTCAATACACCATACACTTTGTTTCACCTCAAGGACTGGAATCCCCTCCATGCAACAACAGTTACCCGACCTCCTCCAAGTAGTACTTATTCTCATTTCAACCTTTTTGAACTTTGTCCTTAGGTAAATGCTGTTCTTTTGATCTTGAATCCTTGACCATTCCATTCCATGGTGGACATACCTTATCAGTGGTGATGTTCTTCTCTATAGACCTCTCTATCTCTTGACTGAAAATTGGACTTACATAAGGGTGAGTTCCATTCCAGACCCCAAGGGTGGCCAGGGTCTCTTATAATCTTGAGTTTTGTGTCACATTTTCTCC